CATTGCACATACAGATATCCTCAACTTAATTGAGCCCCAAATTTCTGTTGCTGAGACAGTTAAGTGAATTTTACCCCATTTTACGCCTTTTCTTGCCACAGATGTTAAGTAAATCACTGCAGTTCTTAAATTAGTAACTAATTTGTTACTAATTTGTTGTTAAAGGTTGTTAATTGAATCTGGCTTCTGCATTAACTTTGCTTGTCAGAGGGTTGTAAAAGGTGAACACATGACCCCAGGACACTGCAACTGTCATAATTATGAGTCAGTTACCAAGCGTCTGAATTTTGATTGCATGACTATGGGGATGCTGCAACAATCTTAAGTGTGAAAAACGGTCATAAGTCACTTTTTTCAGCGCTGTTGTAATTTAAAACAATCACTAAATGAACTGTTGTAAGTTGACTACCTGTAGACCATTAAGGTTTCTTCCTGTCAATTCCCTCTGCACGTGTATAACTGTCATACAAGGAAAAAAGATAAAACATGAATCTCAAACCCTTCTTTGCTTTGTCTTCCACACTGTACATGCAAGAGACAACATGATGTCATTCAGTGCACTGAATAATCCAACCTGGACAGTGTGCCATACATTAAAGTAAACTCTTCCCACTACTTAAAGATTCCAAAGTTGGTATTAATGAAACATGCACAACTAAGTGTATTAAATGTTTATTGCTGGACTTGCTCAGTAGGAGCAAATGATCAAATATTATCTTCAAATGCCATCCCCTTAGCCAAGAGAGATCATTTTCGTAACCGTAATGGCAACAATGCAACCCAACTATTGTTTCATTAACATTTTTCTCACAACTGGAAGGAATGTGTATTCCTGCTATACATTTGTTCATAGGTGCCAACAGCAAATGGTCAGGTATTGGCATTTGCCATAGGCATTATAGCCAGACTTTTTTAAAAAGGCATTCCTATTCAAGTTTGTCAACATTTTATATTTTTCCATGAGGAAAGATGCTTTTGTTCAACTGACAAAATCTGTTATCAATGGATGATCAATGGAACCAACTTAGAACTAAGTATAAATTTCCTGACAGAATAATTAATCAGTGGGATGCTTTGCCTCCAGAAATTGTGGGTGCTCCAACACTGGAGGTTTTTAAGAAGAGATTGGATGACCATTTTTTCTGAAATGGTATGGGTTTTCCTGCTTCAGAGGGGGGTTGGACTAGAAGACGTCAAAGGTCCCTTCCAACTCTGTTATTCTGATTTCTGTTATGGAGCAAAACCAAAACCAAACCAAAAAGGCTCAAATCCTGGCAGATACCAGATCATATCTGTGTGAAAAGTTTACTTTTCTTTTTTTAACCACTAAGTCAGTGTTGACGCCTGGTGACTGCCTGAATTAATCCTCAAATCTTCTTGGCAGCATTTTCATAAATGGTTTGCCCTTGCCTCATTCTCAGGGCTGAGAGAGAGAGTGATTAGTCCAAAGTCATCCAGTTGGCTTGTGCCTAAGGCACGACTAGAACTCACAATCTTCTGGTTTCTAGCTTGATGTCTTAACTACTACCCCAAACAGCCTCTCAAAATTCTTACTACTTCTAACTGTACCTATCACTTTTCTGCCTTACTAATTCCATTGGAAGCAAGTCATTCAGGTACTTCACAGTATCAACAAGAGCCAATTGTCAGAATGTAACCTAAGAATGTTGTCTCATAGACAACATTCCCTATTTTGCCTCAATCTCTTATTAAAAAGAATTAGACCATGCTGCTAAAAAACAGTATTTGTTGAAATGTGGAAGCTATCTATTTTGCAAAATCTCAAGGTAGCCTTGAATGATTTGCCTGCTCAGTAACAACCCAAAGAATATTAAACAAATCCATGTACTATCACATATTGACTTAATAAATACAGGAATGTATATATGTGAGTCAATCCAAGGATTTCTACAAAAGCTGAAAAAAAATCCATTTCTTAATGTAGCACATTCTAATTTATTCTGTTCTGAATACTATTTATACAAAATACGTTATAATTAATATTAGACTTGTCACTGAACTAGCACTTACTAAAATGCATCACACAAAATGGCCCATTCACTGCTAAAATGATAAGTTTCTATAGCAACTGAGCAATGTTCCCTTTATTTACTTTTAAAATATTATTTGCCAATGTGCTAGTCAGAAGCTTTCCTTTAGATTTGCATTTTTGAATTATATGCGAGACCAGATATATGGTCTTGTCATCTTGCCTGAAATTGCACAATCTCCTGAATTTTTAAAGTCTTTAAATTTATTCGCTAATGTATGACATCTCTGAATGCCACCTAGCAGTGTTGTAGGTAATTGGCATCCATGAGAATTATACTGCTGACCTTTCCTATGTAATGCCTTCTCATAAAATGGAGATTATGAGCCTCAGTTGTAAACAGCTGCTAAATTTAATAAGTATATTTGATTATTTTATATTAATAGCAAACATTTATGCCCTATGTTGGCATTCAAATTTGTAAATGTTTTAGATTAGTTCTACTGTCAAATGTTTTTTTTTCCTTTAGAGGTAATTTTGCAGGACTTTACCACTAGTTACACTTTAAACACTTTGCATTTCATAATCTACTCATTTCACATAATTTTTATTGTGCAGGAATGAAAAGCTTAAAAAATAATTTTAAAGAAACAAAATATTCCAGCCGCTATATAATCTGCATCCTCCTTGCAAAAGCACCTGCCTTTTGGTGAAAAGCCAAACTAACTCCTGATACCATTTTCCCATTCAATGAACGGTGGTGTTACATTCAAAGCATTTCCCATGAGATTATGAGCCACAACACCATTTTTCTCTAGCCAGAGAAACCAGGGTCACTGCCAAACACATTCAGAGTTGCAGATAAAGAAGAAAAACTGGCAGACACTAAAAGAACACTCTCCTTCTCCAATTAATGCAACACATCTTAATGCTATGGTAGTATTTTGGATTTGATCTCTAAATAGGCAACTGAGCACATGGCAGCAGAAATACCACACTCATCTGTGACACTTTAAAGACATTGTTGCTGTAAGATGGCAAACAAGGTCTTCTGTGTGCTCCAAAGCACCTTTTGGATAATCATATTTGAAGCATTTCACGTTGTATCAGAGTGTCTGTCTTCTGACCTTAAGGGCTAAGCAGAACTAGAAATACATACATTCACTTCCACTACCATTGTCTCAATTATAGGTAGCAAGTTTTATAAAAATGAATAAGAATTATAGAGAATATAATCATTAATCTTTCTCTGGTTAAGAACAACAACACTATTAACATGTTGGCCTTTTCTTTACTCATATACTGATATATTCTCCTACAGTGTAGAATGTAAGAAACAGGCCATATTAATTTTTAGGATGTGTCTGCCATGGGCTTTTAGGATTAAGATTAACAATGCAGGAAGCATATCTCAGTCCTCAAATACATTAATGTATTTTAGATCAATGTGCAAAGGGCACATACTCTGTTATTTTCTTATTATTCACTCGCTAAAGTCAACTTTATATTTCCAACAGGGAATACTAAGAATATTGATTTGGATTTTTTCAGATGAAGCTTGGATTATCCCATAGTACTGGTCAATATCACTTTACTGTCAGTTTCTTCCACTATCATTAATAATGTAAATATTAAGAAAAAAGACAATAGAGAATAAGAATACAAGGAAGACAGTTTCTCTTCCTATCGCAAACTTGATGTACAGAACTATAGCCTTCATTATCCACAAGCCAATGCCAGCACTTTCATTACATTTCTACCAATAATTAAGTTGGTAGTCCTATGATGATTCCTTAGTATGCTCTGAAAGGTATGGAGAAAAATGATGATTTGTAAATTAAAATGAAAGATACAAACAATGGCCAATGAGAATATGCCTTGAAAATAAGCAGTCAACCTTGTGGTAAAGTATTGAATTTCAGTGTTAACAGAACAAGGCAATTTCGTAGTACAATGCTATAGGGGATTGGGGAAGCAGGAATTTCATTCTTCTGACTATGATTTAAAGGACACCTAACTGGGCATATAGATATTAAGCAATATTATTCTCTTGCTGTTAGATTCTGGTTTATGACTTAATCCTATACTGAAAACCATAGAAAAAAATTAAATTGCTTCTATGTCCTTCTAACAATCTTTCATTGTACAGTAATATTTTTTCTCTTAACAGCTGATATTCAATGTTAGTTAAAAGTGTTTATTTTACTTTTAATAGTTATAACCAGATTTTTTTCAACTCAGAACACTGAAGAATCTGACATCTCAATGTAACCTATGAAATAATATCTATTTAGCTAACACTACATAGTATTTGTGTTTGTAGAGTGTGTACAAAATGTCTCCTGCAATTTTTGAAAGTTAACTAAAATTGTGCTATTTCTTATCCAAAAGCCATCTGATTAAATCCCTTCCTCTAAGCTATTTATCACAAACAAAATTCTGAGAAGAAACAAAATACTGCAGCCAAAACTAGACTGATGAATCCTTTGCTCAGATCCCAAGAGTTACTTGGTGTGCAGTTAGGCTTGTAGTAATGATTTAACAAACTATGAAAACACAAAGATCCCATTTTATAACAGGATATGTCTAAGCATTTAAGGATTACGTCCTAGGGTAACACATAATTTTATCTAATAAAGAATATTCAAAATTAAAGTTTAAAATTTAAAATACAATTCCAGCCCCCACAACTAAACTTTTATACTGGTATGATGAACTCTTCCACGTGTCTGTGAAACAGACTTATTGAAGCCTATATTTAAAGTATTAACTTTACATCATTGTAGCACAGTATTATGAAATTTTATAAAAAGTATTAGATGAAACCAGGAAGTCTCTGTGCTCTTTTAGATTAAATAAATATGGGATCATTTACATATCAACAGAAAAATAATAGGATTTTTTTTTAGCATCTCAAACTCAACGGACTCCATAAAGATAGCAATAATGCTCTTCCTTAAGTCACAACTGCTGTTCCGTACTAACTGTAACTCAGTCTGGGGTAACTCACCAGAAGGTGTTGGATTTATAGGAACTCGTGGTAGAAAGTTCTCTGTGAAGTTGACATTGCACAGGTTGGTACTACAGCAGCAGAAACGGTATGTCCCATTCTGAATCAAGGAAGGAGTGGTTGTTACTATACATTCTTCAGCATGACACTCTTGGGGGTCTCCTATATGAGTCCAACATCCTAAAACAAATGGCAAATAAAACAGCACATCAGAAAGAGGTTAATGAACAGCAAAATGAAGTCCTGAACGAAGGAGTGCCGCCCCCTCCCGATGAACAAATAGGACAGGGAAAGAGAGGAGGTGGGAAAGAGAGAACCAGGAACGCAACAACTC